TAACACTTCCACTTGACGCTGGTCCTCTGTGAGGTCGTGGTACTGACCCGGACGGACCTGCCCATTTGCGCAGCGAAGACTGTTGCGGGCCGCAACGCTTTCTCTGGACCATCACGTGGACATGACAAAAGCAAGCCTGTGGTTCCGAGCATAGAAACTTTGGTCACTTATACCCATTAGTGTCCTCACGGGGCACTACTTATTTAAGCAGGCAGCTAAACATAATGTCGGAGAGCACTTTCTATAGATTCTGTGGTGATGACGAGGAGATTCCTTCAGATGACTCCGTGCCACAGTGGCCAAGGTATCGGCTTCGGCGTCGGGGGTCGTGGGTTCGATTCCCACGCGGGACAACTATTTGTGTGACCCACAAATAGTTGTTTCGCATCTGGGTTTTTGTCCGCGTAAAATTTATGTTTGTAAGACATCCTTACAATACAGGATAACGTTATCCTAAAGAAACGATAATGTTTTTCAAAGAAAAGAAAAAAGATAATTTGTGAATGCAATGCACTGATCAATATAAGGAGTCGGGAATTGGGAGAGCTCAAAATGACAACCAAAGAAGCCCTTCACCGGCCGTAAGCTTCGTTAGAGTGGTTTGTTTGGAGGAGGTTTTCTAACTCTGGTCACCCCCTGAATAGATATTCTAGGTCGCGGTGGTAGTTGGGACTTACTACCCAACACCTTCCACACAAATCATAATCATAACCAATGTATACTTATCTAATATAAAATAAAAAAAATAAATTGCCCCGGGGCTACTACCGATATTTGAACATTAATTTTTAATATTAACTTTAAATGGTCATTCTATAACTTAATCTAATTTACTCTAATTTGGTGTCATAATAAATATTATTTACGTATTAGTCTATTTATCTTATTTTTAGCACGCGTAATACAATACGTAAATAGTTTTGATACATAAATTATTATATATTACCTACTTAATAAATAAATAGATTACACAAAAATATAGTGATTAACCTTAACTTTAACAGCGTCTAATAACATTAAAATAAAAAATAGCTCAAGTTACTTGAAGATAATGTAAAAAATATACGTAAAAAATAAAATACGTTAATCGTAGCCTTTTTGGATGATCCCATAAAATACAAAATAAAGGAGAAGTGTCTCGCATATTGGTACAGGTTTATGGCCAAAAGTTGCATTAATTGTTGAAGTTCGTGACATATATCTTCTATTGTATTTGATCTTATAACGGACGTTGAGTTAATTTAGTTCTCTCCCAATAAAGGGCTCTATTATAATTTTAAATTTGTCATATCTATTAAGATGGGTGCCATATAAAAGTAAAAGTAAAGTAACAGCCTATACATGTCCCACTGCTGGGCAAAGGCCTCCTCTGTACAGAGGGTATCAGGGCATAGTCCACCACGCGGCCCCACTGCGGATTGGCGGACTTCACATTTATCTTCGAATTTTTTTTTTGTTATTATTTCTAAAATATGCAGGTTTCCTCACGATGTTTTTCTTCACCGCGGAGCACTTGATAAGTCAGCACTTATTAAAAACTTCATTGGTGCCGGCACCGGGGTTCGAAATCAGGTTGCTCGATATATTGAATTAAAGGCGAGCGCCCGGACACTGAGCTATCACGGCTCTGGTGAAATATAATATAATATAAATAATAATATACTATATTACAGTAGGATAATATTATCGGACTTTAATAACCAGCCAATGTAATGTCGGTGGCCCGGGTGTATTATTTTTAGACATGAGGACGTAAAACAAGAAAGAAGTCGGTCTGTGCTGTGACAATAAACACTGTGGTAGTGTCCGAAACACGGGTAATCTAAAAAAACAATAATAAAACTGGACGAAATTCTTAAAGTAGGTTTATTTGTCCTGTTTTATTTATTAATAAGAATAAAAATAATATCATTGATAAAGCTTAAAACGTGAATTACCTATTAGGCTTAAAATATAAACTGGTAGAAAAATCTTCGCCGCTTCGGGATTCGAACCAGCGTCACCAGTTTAACGCGTCCAAAAGCCATACGATATCCGCACGACGCGAAATAACACATCATCACTACATAAAAGTCAAGTCGTCCCGCTGTCTGTACAGACATAGGGACAGCCTTATGTTTGCTTAGATCTTTAAAACTACGATCGATCGAAACGATCTTGGTGCGTTTTTTTTACTAGATAGAGTGATCCAAGAGGGAGGTTTATATGTATAAAACATTAAACCCGTGCGAAGCGGGGGCGACTCGCTAGTTAAGCAATAAAAATGTTGACAATGAATGTATTAACAAAAACATTGCAATGGAAGAGGCAATTAATTGGTTCAGATATTATCATCGTCCTGACATTATAGAAATATAATATGAAAATACTTTTGAAAGGTTGTTCAAAGGTGTGTGTATTATTTCTTATTCGTGCCAAAACTGCTGAGAAACGGATTTGAATGATGTAAATTTCAGACTTGTAGACAAGTCAAACGGATGGACCATTTTGAACAAAATATTTGAGCAATAAAACATTTAGGATTTCCTAACGTTTCAATTTGCCTTTACGAATTGACATTAATATCGCAAAAAATCGGGAATTTTTATTATCATCACCTCAACGAGTCGTTGAAAAAACGTCGTGAACAATGTCTGGCTGGTTTGGTGGATTGCTAGCGTAGTGCTGTCAGTATGCACTTTCTTAGATGATCCATAGATCATTGTTCGTGCGGCTAGAGTAGGCTGCGGTTGCCACCGCTTGTAGTGGTACATGCGGTGTGGTGAATGCACAACACTATTGGATTAAACACACTTGATACTTGACATATTTTCAATAAGAGCGATGTTAATTTATACCCTTTATAAAGTATAAATCGACGTCGATTTTGTACTATAGTACAATTAAAATCGTACAATTTTTTTAATCTTTTTTTTTGGTTAATTCACCGTGAAGAAAGGAGAGAAGACACGTACCTATATGTTATGGATTTATTCTAATTATGAATCGGATATAATGAGTAGATTTATAAGCCTTATTAGATTTTACTAAGTAAATTTACAAGACTTAAAATGTTCTCATTTTATAAGTGTCTTAAAATAAACAAGCTCTTGGAATATAGTTTTGTAAATATTGGTGTCGATCATAGTTGCTTAGAGCAAACCATGCCAAATCGCACCTGTTCGAAGCGAAATAATCCCATATATAGGCCCTAAGTACCAAATGCAATTAATTGTAGCATGAAAAAATAGACGCATCGCATGTAACATGAAACCATAGAGAACCGCAGCTCGGCAGATGCCACTGGCGCGGACGTTGCCCGGCGGCCATCTTGTTCCCTCGCGCTTCACTGTTTTTGTTTTTTTTTTTTTACTTTTTTAATAGTTATGCTTGTGTTGGAGGCGATAAAGGTATAATGGTCACTTGCATTGTTGAAGTTGTGTACATAACCATTTATACTTTGTAGTTACTTTCTTTGGATGCCTGTATTTTAATGAAATAATTTTACACTAAATTTAATTAAAATTTTTAAATAAATTTATTACTTATTGCATTAAAAGTTTTGACAATTCTACAATTTTTTTTCGGACACCTTATTTAATTAATAAATCCTAGGTAACTCCCACAACTGAGACGAATATAATGACGCCACATCTGTTCAAATACCTAAAAGGTTTGGGCTTTAAGGCGCACCTTAGAATTCTTACATATGTTATGTGTGTCTAATTAGACATTAGATGAGTACATAAAACTTTCAAAGAACATTACATTAATAACCATACAAAGGCCTCCTTTGTACTGGGGGACATATATAGGCCGTTACTTTACTTTTTTAAATTTAGATTTAAAAAAAAATAATAATTTGAGAACTGAGTAAACATAGAACTGCAATGAATAAACAATTCCATTTCTGCGAAGCAATCCAATTCCGCGTGACATTTCAATTTTAAACCAACAAGGACGGCGTTTGAGCTGTGGGCGTTAAATTAAAAACGGTTTAATTTCACGGGTTATTTGCGGTGCGGACCTGCCGCCCTTTTTGCTACGTCCAAACTAACAGGTGTCTGCCTAGGTTGCTGGATTTTAAAGTTGCCTGACATAGTATCGCGAAAGCATTGTTCGTACCCGACTTCGGCGTAGCCAAAAGGAGGGTTATGTGTTTGACCCGAGGCAGTTACTTAGCTCATGGCTTTTCGATTCTCCAACGGGGCAAAGGGTATGTTCAGCCACACACATACACAACGCATATTACAATGCATTGTATACCTTCAACTGTATTCTAACATAGGTAGAAGATCATTTCTCTATTTAACGTCCCCTCTCATTCAATGGTTTATGGTAAACTAGCTTTTCGCCCGCGGCTTCGCTCGCATTGAAGTCCTTAAATGAATATCTTTCTTTAAAAATTATATATATATATATATATATATTTTAATTAAAGATATTTTCAACCCTTTACAACACTTTTTTCCAATGAAAAGCTAGCCATGTCCTTTCTCAGGCTCTAGACTACCTGTGTACCAAATTTCATTTAAATCGGTTCCGTAGGTTTGGCGTGAAAGCGAGACAGATAGACAGAATTACGTTCGCATTTATAATATTATATAGTATGGATATACTATATAATATTATAAATGCGAAACTATACCGTTACGTTACTAGACCGTTATAACTAATACTTCGTTTATACAAATAGTATAACTAAACAAATCAAATTTCGCATTGAAGGGAATCGCAGAATTAACGTGGAGAATTCGGCACATCCGACAACATCATGAACACCAATTCAAACAGCGAAGTCACCAATCCGATGGAGCCGCTTGGTGGTCAGTGGTGGAAACCGGAGTAGCTATGGAGAATGCTTTCCCAAGCCGACAGACTTTTAGTATAGGCTGTTATTGAACATGAATTAATAGTGCGTACGCTCTAGGCTAGTGCATACGTAGAAGAAATGCTATGCGCACACACGCTTACAAACACAGACACATTAACACATTGCCGTATACATTTTACCGACTTACTTGCCATCTTTGATTCTTTGCTTGTTGTGCCTTTCGTGGAAGCCCAGGAGCTCCTCTATCAGCCCCTCCTTCAGCATCGAGTCCACGCGTCTGTTCAATCGCTCGTCGTGGATCGCCTGCAACCGTAGATACAAATACGAAAATATTTATTTCATTAACATATTTATTTTACAGTTATAAATATTTGAGTTGCTACTTTATGCAAAAGTTTTGCTTGAAGATGGTTGGAGTTTATCATCTGCTTGGGATCGCGCAATTTATAAAGTTAAATCCAAGCACACCAACACTGCCACACCGCCAGATACCATATTAAGCTCCTTCTGCGTGGATCGGAATAAAAATAAACTAAATAATTGACGGTACCCGGGGTTAACTATGACACCAAGACGTATAACAACTTAGTCTGTCCCGTGACCATGAACGCTGCAAAGGGTTCGAAACGTCGGGAGTTCAAATCAAAATAAAAAACGCGATAAAATCGATAAACTAGTTTCATTTAATATGTATAATGTTCGCGTAAAATCAAGAAAACAATAGTAGATATGTTATTTGTTGTTTAAGTTGGTATATAAGGTACATCTGTGTTCTCTACTTTATCATTTGAATAATTCTATTATTGTGACGCTAATATTGCTTTAGTTATACTCTACAGTTGCTTCTCATTTACGGGTTCGTATCGTACTTTTTTGTTACTATTTCCCACGATGCTCAGGTTTCTCGAACATACTGAAAAGCGAGCGAGCGTACGGACACTGAGCAATCACTGCTGCTGCAAACTTTGAATAGTTTTTCCAAGTTAAAAACCAACAAAAAGTCACAACGCAAGGCGAAAAAGTCAAATCGAAACGAAGAGAGGTCACGGGCTCTGGAGAAATTCAGATGGCTTGACAATCATTGTCGTCGCTTTACGAGGTAAATAGAGGGAAATGTAAGTCAAGATAAGGTAAATCATTGACATTATATTGATATTAAGACTGATGTTGCTCTCGCGTGTCAAAGATTGCCTCCATTGGGCCTATGGCGTAACTGTCGCGCGGCATAACACCAAAAAAAGGCCCTCGATAAGAATATGAAATTTGAAAATCGAAATTTGAAACGCCATTAGACAGCTGATTAGTTAACATCTACAATGATCAGTGTTTCAGAAACCAACCAATGTATGTTATTACAGACGTGTATGTCATCCCATACCTGGTATTATCAATGGGGTCATTATCCGATAAACTTAATACCTTAATAGGCAAGGTTTGAGAAATACTGAAAGTTGCAGACAATAGCAAAATTTGTATGAATTTTTATGCAAGAAACCACAACACTTTCTCGATTGTCGATACGTTGCCAACCTTAGACAGAGTGGGGTCCAGGTTACCTCACTCACAAGACATAAAGCGGAGGTAAATTCTTCTGCCGGTCTTCTGTGAGTGCGTGGTACTTTCCCAAATGAGACTGCACATTCGCGCAAATAAATATATCGATAATATTTGAATATTACTATACTCGCACACATCTGGCTGTTTCAAGATACGGAGAAGACGATGTTTAAAGTTCTGTGCTAATACCTATTTGCTTCTATTACCTTAACATAGATGTTTAAATCGGGTCCGAAGAGAAAGACAATATGTGATCGACTTTAACGAGAAACATGTCCGGAACAACCGAGGATGCTGTGAGCCGAACGCTTCAATGTAAATTATTACAAATCTCCTGCGTATTTTTTTTTCACGAACATGGTAGACGTAGATGCCACCTAGTACCTCAGGGTTATCTAGCAGTGGTAGAGAGTCCTAACACACTTTGTGTTGTGGCTGATATTCGATGCTTACTGCGTAACGCGAGTGGAGCTAAAACTAGATAACATTGAGGTACTAGATGGTGTCTTCAGGGCTATTAAGAAGGAGCTTTGCGGGGTAAACCAGACAGCTCAGCTAATCTAAATCTAAATCTTTAAATATACATTCATGCTCATTTTATAAATAAAACCAAAATAAAATGAAAATAATCTGTGATGGCGCAGTAATCAAGCTATTGGCTTGCTGGGGGTCATATTGCGGGTTCGATTCCCACACTGGACAAGGGTTTGCGTGACTGTCCCGGATTTGCGTGTTGCCCTCGCGAAATTCGTGTATGTAAAACGTCCTCAAACACAGGATAACGCTATCATACAACAAGGTCTAATGAGGTACATAACAAAAAATCATGTAATTCATCGTCTTCATTATCGAGTTAGACACCATCGGAGGCGCTTCGAATACAAAATTAGGATAAAGTCATTACAATCGATCCTCTGTCGGCTATGACTTGCATGCGTAATACGAGTTTAGGCCAAAAAAAGCCAATTACGGGCGCATTGAACCCGACCAGTGCAATCTCAAAAACTATTAATGGCCGATGGGTTGGACGCGAAATAAAAAGAAACGATTCTATTGCTAAGATCGGAGAGACAAAAGCCCGCTCCATTGGCAATCTGTACGGGATGCTGCACGAATAAATACGCAACGGAGAGTTATTATCGATATTAATAATTTGAGTGTGGTAGGGCCACGCAATAGTCTTCGCTGCTTCGCTCGACCTCACGGAAGACCGGCCCCGGAAGGTGGCCCCGGCTACCTCACTAACCAGACGAGACGCAGAAGTATAATACTTCCAATTAATCGGTTGAGGTCGTGGTACTTACCCGGGCGGACCTGCCCATTCGTGAAACAGCGAACACTGCTGCGTGGTCCCGCCACAGTTGTGGTTTGGTTATTTTCATATTACTACGTATTTTTTTTATTGGTTATCCTTATAATGGTTTAGCACGACTCCCGGTGGGTCTGACGTACCCGATTGGGTCGATGAGGTCGTTGCGCGGGCTGTGTTTGTATGTCGGGTTGGTTGAAGACATCGTCAGTGACAACGGCAAATGACAGTTAGCAGGCTAGTCCGTCTTGTCATCATCAGCTGCCGAGACAGCGTCGAAACGATGGTGATTTAAATTTGAATCGAACGCGATAAGACTTCGTGAAGACTACGTTGTAATTAGGCTCTTGTTTGTGTTAGGTAAGCTGTTTGTTAGACGAAGTTGTTATGACGGCGGCGAAGCGGTTAAACAACAAGAGTAGACTGGCGTACAAGACTGGCACGCGCCTCGCGCCCTTTCCCGCCGACAAAAATCCGAACTCGGCGGCGTCACGCTTTATGAATTGACAATAAACGAATTGGTAACGTACAACGTTCGCCCGCAGAGTTCAACCTTCTGGCCTTGGGGTTTGCGTGGAATTTTTTTGCCGACATATAGCTTTTAATTCAATCAAACTCCGCGCATTATTGTCGGCGGGTCGATAAGGGGGCGTGCACACCTCGCCTGTCCGCGATTTCACCAACTTTTCAATGAGTGATCAGCTAATAGCTCATAATTTGACGTAACAGACAGACTTTAACCGCATGATTATCAAAGTATTCACTGTAACTGCGAAAATGGAATATCGTCGTAATAAGTAATTAATGTGTATTCATTATTTTAACTCGGTGACATGATACGTTCAGCATTAAGAATACTGCCGGATTAAATATATAGTTCACTCTATACAATTCAAAGGATTTGATTAAAACCAGATCCATTATCTTATAGATGTTCGATTTACGGAAATTAGTACAGTTACAGGCAAGCGAATACAAAAGAATATTTTCAGTTTTTTAATTTAAGAAAAATGGTTTTATAAAAGATTTCTTTGAAACGTAACTTAAAGTTATTTTTATGAATCGACATAAGAATTTTCGTTGGATTATATTGAAAGAAACTAAGATGCATAGGAGAGCTGTTTCTTGGAGTTCGATGTGATTACAATTCGAACGTTTGGTCCGATTTTATTAAGCGGTGAGTGTGCACTCTCCTTAAAGCGGTTAGATACACAGAATTTTTAGTTTATGCTAATTACAACCGGCGACTCGAGGCTAACGCTTATTTATTATTCTTATGAATGAAGACTCCATTAATTATTTCACGCGGAACGTATTTAGCTCCACTGAATGGGCGCGAAGTAGGTAGGGATCTCCAGATGTGAGCACGGCCGACGGGCGAAACGCGTTGGCCCTTGATTTTTTTTATCCGGAACAAGGCAAAAGTTGGCAGGAACCATTTGTAGATGATTGAATGTTTAGTGGAACAGTAATACGGTATGCTCGTTGAGTTTTTAAGACTTTTAATAACTGAGTCAAATGCGAATATTGGCAGGGGCCATTTGCAGATGATTATTTTTTTATTGCAATAGTACAATCTAGTGTGGTACTGGATAAATTTTTAATTAATAAAACTAGAAATAGAATAGTCTAGATCTTTCTGTTGTCCTTCTATTTGCATACAAGTATAGCGGTTAGTGGGGTTCTCCGCTAGAGGTTCTTCTAGCGGAGAAGAAACAGGCGAAAGAAACTTCGTAGTGTTGGCAACTCTAAAAGAAGTCATACCTTGAGGTTGTTGGCAACACTAAAAGAAGTGTCATTCTACGGGGTATAAATGAAGCTGCACGAAGCTTTTCATGGTCCAGTCAGATAATAGCTACCGATCGAGCCGAGGTCCGGCCCTCTCGGGCACCCTCGAATCAGAATGCTAAACGCGTGTTGAGTGACAGCCCAAGTCGAGATCCCTTCTCGGGGACCCTTGAGCCTGATCACTCCATGGAGCGCCCGCCAATACAGTGATAATAATAGCGCCGAAGCCTTGACAACTGTCCCACTGCGATCACGCGATTACTACACATTGATTTACGATAGTAATTTACGGATTTTACCGCGTTTAGTTTTGCTTCAAAATGGCGACGTCTCCAACACGGCGAGAGTCATTGGACGCGGCTCAGAGTCATGGTCGGGAATTAATTAAAACTAAAATCGCACGCAAAAATATTCGTAGATTGGTTTTATTTATATGATACTTTCGTATGGTAAAGTTGTTTATTATATCGCAATATATGTGGACGTCTCTTATGATAGTTTGGACTGATTTCCCGCCAATAAACGTAACCATTCGTTCGGTAAAATTCAACGTAATTGGCGTTTCATGAGGCCTTGAACGTAATTGTCGGATTAAACTAAACTATTTTTAACAACAAAGGATTTTTTTTATGTTTGGTCTGTTACAAGA